TAGCTTAGTGTGGATATGTTGCACAATTAAATCAATGGCAACATGATTGTCACCTCCCCGTGGGATGATCACATCGGCATACTTCTTTGAAGGCAGCACAAAATCATCAAAAGCAGGCTTCACAAATTTAGCATACTGCAAAATCAACAGTTATGCTTCAGATTGTGACATTAATAACAGTCACTTAGAGTTTAAAGAGATTAAATCTCTGAGATTTTCCCTCTCAATTTCTGCAAAAATTCACAGCATAAGCACCTTGAAAATCATGAGCAATATTAAAATGGGACATTATCCTTGCTCTAATATGGATTAACTAATCACCAATCCATGATTTTAAAGTTGTAATTAATGATCCAAGGTCACCTTAGTGGTCCAGCAGAAGAGTTTCCTACCTCCGGCCAACAGACAAACACACATGAATTGCTATGGAAGTTTAGATCCACTACTGTCTATATATGTGCTCAACATGGGGGTTTCTTCCTAGGATAAACATGTAGCAGCACCAGTTGAGCGCTTGCATTTCAGTCACTAATTGATGGGATATAACAATTTCCAGTACACCATTTGCTGAAATAAATTTTGATTAAGACACTTCTTGGAAGTCAAAATCCTACTCCTATTTTCCACAGCCATTTCATTCTAAGTGGACAGTATAGAGTACAAAACCAGGAGAATAAAATGAATCCTTTCCTTTGACATCTAGAGACTTTAATTTGAGTCCTCCGGTGGCAAGTTCATGATAATTGAACTTAAACTAGAGGCAGGCATTAGCCCCGGTGCTTCAATGCATGTGCTGCTGGTTCGAGATGGATGATGAATACTAAACACAGTGTTATATCTATTTGAGTGTAGGCCACTTTCCTTCTATATTGCGGTTTTCATACAATCAGGAAACAGTGTACACTATTGCAAGCAATCACATACAAAGCAAAACAACAAAGGATATTCAGCAATATAATTTAAATTTGCTTAAAATACTTAGAAAATATGCCATAATTTTAAATTAAAATAGGAATGAAATGCTTCATGCAAAACATGTTTATGTGAAAAGCACATTTACAAGCCATGGCTGACCTTAATCATTATTTCACTAATTGAGGACAAAAAATATAATAAGCATAAAGTGCTAACCTGTTCAAGAACAGAGTTTATGTCCCTACCCCTCTCAACTGTGTCACGCCTTATTCTACGAGCAAGCCTCACATCAGCATCTAGAAGCAACACATCACCAATATAAATAAAGGGGAGAAAGCAAAGTAAAGAAAAATATAGTAATAGCTAAAAAAATTTAACTGCATCTTCCTTCATTTGACAGTCAAGTAACTCTTTAGGCAGACCATATCCCCATATGTCTGACTAGACTTCTGTGGCTTTATTACAATATTAAGTTATGATTAAAATAACACTATCATATGGCATTCTGAGCCCAAAATGGTTTTCCAATTTATGTTAAACTGAAGGATTTATGTACAAGTACATCCAATATGCAGATTACTAATGATTACCATACTTATTCTTGTCAAGAGTGCTGCATCTTTGGTCACCCAAAGGCAAAAAATTTATAATATAGCAATTGCCTGTCAATTTACCAGATTGTGTGTTAATGAGCTCAAGCAGGGCATGAACACACAAGCACACACTACAGAATCTCCAAGACCTATGGAATATTGAGGGGGGATGTTTTCCATGATAGATAACTAGTTAACAACTCAAACCTGTGTCAACAAAGATTTTCATGTTCATCAGGTTGCGAACACGCTGGTCATGGAAAACCAGAATCCCCTCAAGGATAATCACATCAGAAGCGTTTACCTGACAAAAAATCCGAGTAATGTTTCAAAAGAAACTAGAAAGAATTTGCATTTAAAATGACCCTCTCTAGAAGAAGAAAGGCAAAGAGATTGAAAAATAATTAGAAAAAAAGGAGTAAATAGTGCCAAGAACACTTCAAATGCCCATGTATTAAATATTTCAACTTCTTACTTTCCATGACAGTAGAGCTTTGCAGCTGTTTGTAGGGGATTTAACTAAATGGCGAGAAAGTGCACTAACAGCAGTAGGTTGACTTGTGATGATATCAAAATTCACAAACCCTCACAATATTATCACTAAATCATTCACCATCTGTGCTTGTAATTTCCCGCATAGAATTGCAGCAGGAAAAGAATAAATGTGATCACACATTTTCTCCATCCAAGCCAATAGCGGGAGCGAAACGCAGCAACCTCACCTTTTATAAAAGGAAGAGTTTCCAACTGGGGTACCAAGTTAAAATCGCTAAAATGATTGATCAAACATGTTACGATTTACCATCCCGTATCCAAAATTATCACACCAATCCTCAGAAAAAAAAAAAGAGTCATTGTTGCTGAAAATTCAGTAAAGTAAGTACCTGCCTGAAGCTATCCGAACATCGGCGATGGCTCTTAAAATCATAGATTGGAACTTGATAAGAATGCCCACTTCTCATCTTTTGAACACAGTCTAAAAGCTGCTCCGTATCAAAAGCATCTACAACGACAACAACAATAACAACACTAAAACAACTAACCACAAAAAAAAAAAAAATCTCAAAATTTGAAGAACAACTCAATTTTACCAGGATGATCAAAATTATACTCATGCACTCGCTTCGATTCTTCAGCCGTCAAGCCACGGTAAAATGAATCCTAAAATTCAAAAACAAATCATAATAATAAAATTTTAAAATGAGAGACAAAAAAAATAAATCCAAAAAAATTAAAAATTAAAAAACCTGATTAACAAGAACAACACGGTGATCATGAAGCTGTTGAATGATCATATCGCACACTGTAGTCTTACCGGAAGCCGTACCACCAGAAACACCTACAAAGTTAATAAAATATTCAAAAAACAATATTAGTATTTTATTAAAATTAAATAATTTAAATTTGTGAGCGAGTGAGTGAAATATACCAATGACAAAAGGTTGTTTGGGAGCATTGGAGTCGGAAGCGGAGGCGGAGCGGTGAGAGGGAGACGCAGTGGAGGAAGACGGAGGAGAAGAAAGCAGGCCATCGAGACGGAGGCCGGAGAAGTGAGGACCTGAGGCCTTCTCCATTACGTAGTCAATAGAATTGGTCTCTTCCGGCATCGTTATATAGTGGTTATTTTCCCACTGTAACCACTACACTAGAGTTTCTGTTGGGACAGGAACAGGAAGAAATAAGAAATGTTGGTGCTTGAACCTTGCTGTTTGGTGTTCTTGGGCCTGTAACTTCTTTTTCTTTTTTCTTTTTCTGTTTTAGAGAGAGAGAGAGACAGACAGACAGAATTCGGGGTTTGTGTTGCGAGAAGAGGAATATGCTATTGATTGGGTCCACATATTTCCTTTTTTTTTAAAAGGCAAAAGAAAGCCTTTAGATGCTCACATGTAGATTGTTTTTTCCTGTTTTAGATTTTTTTTTTAACATTGTCCTATTGACGACCTTTACTATCGAAACAATTTCATCAATAATTCTAATGATATCTAATTCTACATTAATGAGGTTACAATATTTTTTTTAAAATCCATACATACAAATTTATTTACAAAACTTTCACAGATTATACAAGAAACTATCCAACATAAAAAACTAAATATCTTGACAATACCCTACAAAGAACCAAGGCCCTAAAAAAATATATATGTAAAACAAACAACATGAAATTTATAATAAACATTTTTATGATTATAATTATTAAGATTAATAACCATATAAACAAAAACAATATTATTAATCTTTCTACAAACACAACATACCAAGTCAATTTCCATATAATATATTCTCATTGTAACACCCTCTTTGAGTTTTTCCATGTGAGTTGTCATAACCTAATTCTAGGTTATTCTTAAAACTTACCTTTTTTATATATAAAAAAATAAGAGTTGGCAACGTAGAGACAACATGACGGGAAATCAAGCTGTAATTTTAAAAGAAAATAGAGACCTAATTGTACCTCATTATGCCCGAAAATAGAGAAACAATGCAAATTCAAGGTCAAATTAAATTATTATTGGACAAATTTGCATAACAAATAAGTCAAAGGACATAATTAAATTTTTAAAAGGCCAATTTGATTTAATCAATGGCCAAATTGAATTTTAATTATGTTTAAAAATTATTTTGAGTCCAATTGAAGGATTTAATTAAGTGCAAGAACTTAATTATACTTTAAATGGGTCAAATTAATTTTATTAAGGGCTTAATTGATGAAAAATTAAGTTTGGGAGCCAATTTGAGCTTAATTGAGAAGATTGCAATATTAGGAAATCAAATTTAATTTTTACCAAGTTAAATCGCAACATTCCTAGGCTTGACCTAGTCAACTAGGTCGACCTAGCCCATGTGCGCGCGCGCGCGCGTGTATTATAATATTATAATATTTTTTAAAAAAATTCAAAAATATTCAAAAATCATTTCATAAAAATTATGATTTTCTTAAATATTTTTCTATCAATTTTGCATAATATCGGGTTGTATATTTACAATGTAAAACACAAATCTGATATTAAAATACCTGGTTTCCTTGGAATCTTTTTCTAAAAATTTTCAAAAAAAATCTTTCAAATTAATTTTCCCTTTTTTAAAAAGAAACACAAAACAAAAAAATATTTTATTTTCATGCGTACGCCCAAATCTTAAAAAGTTTCCAAGCATATTTTCAAAAAAAAAAATAGATCTTTCTCATATTTTGAAAATTCAAAAAAATAGATATTTTAACCAATTTATTAGTAGCAATGGAATCGCTATGCCTACCGTCGGATCTTTAGATCTTGTAGTCCTCGCGCCCGGGACCCTAAGCTTGCAATGCCTTCCCTCGCTCATGCCGAGGAAAACCGCATTCTTCAATCCTCGGCAGGCAGGGAAGCCTCTCGGGAAAGGAAAAGGGGGGCGGGAGAAGGAGAAAAGAAGAAGGGGGCCGCACGGGAAACGGGCAAAAAGGAGGCGTGCAACACGGGGAAAAAGGGGGCCGCACGGGAAATGGACAAAAAGGTGGGGAGCAACACGAGGACTTCCTAGAAGGTCACCCATTCTAGTACTACTCTCGCCCAAGCACGTTTAATTACAGAGTTTTGATGGGATTCGGTGCACTCGTGAGTCAATGCACGCGCAATTGCTATAAGCGGTTCGAAGGTGCCTGTGAGGAGAGCCACGAGAGGCTGCCTGATTAGTACTTAAAAGTGTATTTTTATCAAGGTTTTATATCATCATTTTGCACTTGAAGTATCAATAACTCCTTAACTAAATCATGTTTTATAATAACATACCTAATAATATAAGATACCTTTAATTTATGGTAAATGTTCATCTTAAATGCAGGCCTATCACATAAATGAAAGGATTGATTGATGAGTTCAAGTATTGAAATTGAAAGGACAAAGAGAGGGCCAAACTTAGAAAAGAAATGTTAGTGTAGTCCAAATGGAACACTGTTCGGTAATTGGGTCATATCTCGAGTTCTAGATATTTAAATGATCTCAAATTGTTACACAGATTCAATAAGACATAGGCCAACATCTTTCATGTGGAGGCCAAGATCTAAAAAGGCTGTTTTCAAATCCAAATTATAGCAACAACGGAGAAGTCCGAATTTGTTCTACAGCCCAGATATTGTTCAGTGTTCAGCCCATATCTCAAGTTCTAAAAGCCCAAATGACCTCAAATTTTTTTTTCCTGAAAAGCTAAGACAATTTCCTATAACTTTCATAAGGTGGACCCAGTTCTGATGCTAACAATTACGTTTTATTCAGACAAGAAGATAAGGATTTTCACCAAGTCAAGAGTTGGCTACCCACTCAATAATTAGTTATCAAATCAATAGTTCCAAATTTTGACCTATAAAAGGAGGCATTTGCCATTCATTTGGGGGCTTGGTTGTTCAGATCAAGAACTTATTCTTGCTCTCTCTCTCTCTCTATATATATATTTTTTGTAATTTTTAAGTTTTGTTTTCATTAATATCTTGTTTATGCTTTTCATTTCATTTCCTTTACTTAGTTAACTTGTATATTATTTATGTTTTTGTTTTGTTTATTTATGTTTCTCTTCTTCATCATGTTTAGCTAAGTTTATTATGTCAAGGTGAAAAGGTTACACTAATGGTGTAAGAATAAATATAGTGTAAACTCAATATGGACCTTAATGTTTAATATTAACATGTCTTATCTTTTTATCTTACTAATTCTTAATACCTTGCTTATTAAATGGTTAATCTAGATTTGTGTTGTATAACACTTAGTACAACAAATGCTTGGCACTCTCATAGCCCAACCGTATGGTATTACCTACACCTGTGCTATGAAAAGGAACTTAATTTGTTGTTAACATAAGTTAGCATCATGAATTCCTGACAATATTTAAAGGTTTGATGTTACTTAAATAAGATAATTAATATGACCATGTTAATAATTTATAATGAGCTATTAATGACAAATCATACGATTGGAACCTCTTTTGTGTGTGGTTTCCAGTTGAGTAATAAGAAGTTATACTATACTTGTTTGAAATACCATTAGTGAATCATATAACCTTGACACTTGTTTTTATCATTGTTTAGTTCTCACATTGATCTTCCATCTTAAAATTCTCATCAACTTCTTCCTCTTCTTCTTCTTCTTCTTTATTATTATTATTATTATTATTATTATTACTATTATTATTACTATTACTATTATTGTTATTATTGTTGTTGTTGTTGTTGTTGTTATATTATTGTTATTTATAATTTATACAATTAATCTCTATGTGGTTCGACCCCGGTCTTGCCGGGTTATTTATTACTTCGACACTCTTACACTTAGGAGAAGACATCAATCTTTTGGTTGTGTCATGATTAGTACTTAAAAGTGCATGTTTATCAAGGTTTTATATCATCATTTTGCACTTGAAGTATCAATAACTCCTTAACTAAAGCATGTTTTATAATAACAAGTTTGATACTATAAGATACCTTAATTTATAGTAAATGCTCATCTTAAATGCAGGCTTATCACATAAATGAAAGGATTGATTGATGAGTTTAAATATTGAAAGTGAAAGGACAAAGAGATGGCCAAACTTAGAAAAGAGATGCTGGTGCAGTCCAAACCAGAACATTGCTCGGTAATTGGATCATATCTGGAGCTCTAGATCTCGGATTTAGGTCCATTTTATATGGATGGAAAGCTAAGACATAGGCCTACAACTTTCATGGAAACCCAAGATTTAAAAAGGCCGTTTTGAAGTCCAAATTGTAGGAACAACGAAGAAGTCTGAAGCTGTCCTGCAGCCCAGACACTGTTCAGTGTTCAGCCCATATCTTGAGTTCTAGAAGTCCAAATGACCTCATGTTTTTTTTGTTGGAAAGCTGAGACAATTTCCTAGAACATTCTTAAGGATTCTGGGCAAATTATGATGTTAGCAATGATGTCTTGCTCATACAAGAAGATAAGGATTGTCACCAAAGTCAAGATGTGGCCACCCACTCATTAATTAGTCAACAAATCAATAGTTTCAAATTTTGCCTATAAAAGGAGGCATTTACCATGTATTGAGGCATCTTGGTTTCTAGATCAAGATCTTGCTCTTGCTTTCTCTTTTTGTATTGCTTATGTTTTGCTTTCATTAATATCAAGTTTATGCACTTCATTTCCTTTCCTTTACTTAGTTAACTTCTTTCTCATTTATGTTCTTATATTGTTCATTTATGTTTCTTTCTTTCATCATGTTTAGCTAAGTTAATTATGTCAAGGTGAAAAGGGTACACTAATGGTGTAAGAATAAGTATAATATAAACTTAACGTGGACCTTAATGTTGGATACTAACATGTTTTATATTTGTTATCTTGTTCACTTTTAATACTTTGCTTGTTAAATGGTTAATCTAGATTTATGTTGTATAACACTTGGTACAACAAATACTTGGCACTTTCATAGCCCATACTGTATGGTATAACCGACACCTGAGCTATGAAAGGAACTTGATTTGTTGTTAACATAAGTTATAATCATGAATGCCTGACAACATTTACAAGTATTAGCATTATTCGAATAAGATAACTAATGTAATCATGTTAACAAATTATAATCTGATTGGAACCTCCTTTATGTGTGGTTTCCAATTGAGTAATAAGAGTTTATACTATACTTGTTTGAAGTACCATTAGTGGATCCTCTAACCTTGACATTTGTTTTTATCATTGTTTAATCCTTGCATAAATCTTTCATCTCAAAGTTCTTATTAATTTCTTCCTCTTCTTTTTACTACTACTACTACTACTACTACTATTTAGATTCTTGTTATATTTTATGTACGTTAAGTATGCTCTGTGTTTGATCAAGGATCCTGACATTGTTGGTCTTGCCTTGTTCATTCGCATTAGAAATTTGTTTATATTATATAATATATCTCTTTGATCTTTTTATAAACTCAGTATATAGGTTGGAAACCTGTGACCCGATCTTTTAGATCATTCTCAGGTATAACAACGCCACGTACTGAGTATTATTATTATTATTATTACTATTAATAGTATTTTTACTATTAATATTATTGTTGTTATTATTGTTGTTGTTGTTATTATATTGTTATTTATAATTTATATAATTAACCTCTCTGTGGTTCGACCTCAGTCTTGCCGGGTTATTTATTACTTTGACACTTCTGCACTTGGGAGAAGACATCAAGCTTTTGGTCGTGTCAGTTATTCTCATTATTCTCATTATGAAGCGATTGATTATCTTCTTCAGCCATATTTTCTGAAAAATAATGAGGATACCCTACAAAGTCTACCACTTAATGTACGTGACCAAACTCTCATGCATGTGTAAAAGGAGAATAAGTGAAGAAAAGAAAAGAGAAGAAAAAGAAACAAAACAAAACAAAAGAAACAAGAGTTAGAAAAAATAAAAAGTGAAAAGAGAAAATAAAATAAATATTATAATTTATACAAGAATTTACCTCCCCGGCAGCGGCTCCAAAAACTTGACACAACCAAAAGCTTGATGTCTTCTCCCAAGTACAAGAGTGTCGAAGTAATAAATAACCCGACAAGACCGGGGTCGAACCACAGAGAGGTTATTATATAAATTATAAATAACAATATAATAACAACAACAACAATAATAACAACAATAATATTAATAGTAAAAATACTATTAATAGTAATAATAATAATAATAATACTCAGTACGTGGCGTTGTTATACCTGAGAATGATCTAAAAGATTGAGTCACAGGTTTCCAGCCTATATACTGAGTTTATGAAAAGATCAAACAAATATATTATATAATATAAACAGATTTCTGATGCGAATGAACAAGGCAAGACCAACAATGTCAGGATCCTTGATCAAACACAGAGCATACTTAACGTACATAAAATATAACAAGAATGTAAATAATAATAATAGTAGTAGTAATAATAAAGAGAGCTTTGAGAGGTAAGGTTGATGTAAGGATTAAACAATAATAAAAACAAATGTCAAGGTTAGAGGATCCACTAATGGTACTTCAAACAAGTATAGTATAAACTCTTATTACTCAATTAGAAACCACGCATAAAGGAGGTTCCAATCAGATTATAATTTGTTAACATGATTACATTAGTTATCTTATTCGAATAATGCTAATACTTGTAAATGTCATCAGGCATTCATGATTATAACTTATGTTAACAACAAATCAAATTCCTTTCATAGCTCAGGTGTCAGTTATACCATACAGTATGGGCTATGAAAGTGCCAAGTATTTATTGTACCAAGTGTTATGCAACATAAATCTAGATTAACCATTTAACAAGCAAAGTATTAAAAGTGAACAAGATAACAAATATAAAACATGTTAGTATCCAACGTTAAGGTCCATGTTATGATAGGCGATGGTACCGGTCTCTCCATCATACACACTGGTTCTACAAAATATTTCCTCTCCTAACTCCACTTTTAAATTATCTAATGTCCCTTGTGTGACAACTATGAAACACAACTTGATTTCTATCTATCAATTTTGCAACTATAACAATGTTTTAGTGGAATTCTTACCATCTTTGTTCTTTGTGAAGGATCTTCAATCAGAGGCACTTTTGTTTCAAGGCAGTATTAAGGATGGAGTGTATGAATGGTCGGCTTCCA